CGAAGGCCCCAGTGGCTGCGCCCGCATGCGGTTCCACCCCCCATTCTGGCACACCCCTCACACGTTTCGTGGCCCCATAGGGAGCTCCACCGAAGGCCCCAGTGGCTGCGCCCGCATGCGGTTCCACCCCCCATTCTGGCACACCCCTCACACGTTTCGTGGCCCCATAGGGAGCTCCACCGAAGGCCCCAGTGGCTGCGCCCGCATGCGGTTCCACCCCCCATTCTGGCACACCCCTCACACGTTTCGTGGCCCCATAGGGAGCTCCACCGAAGGCCCCAGTGGCTGCGCCCGCATGCGGTTCCACCCCCCATTCTGGCACACCCCTCACACGTTTCGTGGCCCCATAGGGAGCTCCACCGAAGGCCCCAGTGGCTGCGCCCGCATGCGGTTCCACCCCCCATTCTGGCACACCCCTCACACGTTTCGTGGCCCCATAGGGAGCTCCACCGAAGGCCCCAGTGGCTGCGCCCGCATGCGGTTCCACCCCCCATTCTGGCACACCCCTCACACGTTTCGTGGCCCCATAGGGAGCTCCACCGAAGGCCCCAGTGGCTGCGCCCGCATGCGGTTCCACCCCCCATTCTGGCACACCCCTCACACGTTTCGTGGCCCCATAGGGAGCTCCACCGAAGGCCCCAGTGGCTGCGCCCGCATGCGGTTCCACCCCCCATTCTGGCACACCCCTCACACGTTTCGTGGCCCCATAGGGAGCTCCACCGAAGGCCCCAGTGGCTGCGCCCGCATGCGGTTCCACCCCCCATTTCGGCACACCCCTCACACGCTTCGTGGGTGGCTCCATGGGGAGCTCCACCGAACGCCCCAGTGGCTGCGCTCGCATGTGGTTCCCCCCCCCATTTCGGCACACCCCTCACACGGTTCGTGGCCCCATAGAGAGCTCCACCGAAGGCCCCAGTGGCTGCGCTCGCATGCGGTTCCACCCCTTTTTCGGCACGCCCTTCACACGTCTCGTGGCCCCATAGGGAGCTCCACCGAACGCCGCAGTGGCTGCGCTCGCATGCGGTTCCACCCCCCATTTCGGCACACCCCTCACACGTTTCGTGGCTCCATAGGGAGCTCCACCGAAGGCCCCAGTGGCTGCGCTGGCATGCGGTTCCACACCCCATTCTGGCACACCCCTCGCACGTTTCGTGGCCCCATAGGGGGCTCCACCAAAGGTCCCAGTGGCACTGCCCGCTTGCGTCCGCCACCACCCAGCACAGCCCTTGTTCCCTGCGCTTCACCCACCCAGAACAGCGCTTCGTAGCCTTATAGGGAGCTCCACCAAAGGTCCCAGCGGCACCGCCCGCTTGCGTCCGCCACCACCCTGCGCAGCCCTTGCTCCCTGCCTGCGTTTCACCCACCCAGTACAGCGTTTCGTGGCCCCATAGGGAGCTCCACCGAAGGTCCCAGTGGCACCGCTCGCATGCGTCCGCCACCACGCAGCACAGCCCTTGCTGACCGCGTCTCACCCACCCAGTACAGCGTTTCGTGGCCCCATAGGGAGCTCCACCGAAGGTCCCAGTGGCACCGCCCGCATGCGTCCGCCACCACCCAGCACAATTGCGGCATTCACAACTGCATATGGTTGGGTCCTTCGCCAGGCTAATTTCAGGGTGTTCGTCTTCCCCCGCTCTTCCCATGCTCTCCCGCATGTTCCGGGGAATCGATGACTCTTTGTGTCTGTGTCTTTTTCCCTCCTGGTACCCGCCCCGCCAGCGGCCCCCCTTCCCTCCCCCTCCGCCTCCCGCGCCTCCCCTCACGTTTCATTGGTGGCCAAGAGGGGGACGTCCAAGAGGGGGGGGCGCAAATCGTGGCCGGCGGCACGTGCGCGGCCCAGCGGGGGGGCCAGGAACGCAATGGAATAAGAAGAAGCGCCATGAAATCAGAGGAACTATCATGGCCCACGTCATGATATCCCCCCCCCCTAATCATCACCCCCCTCTTTGCCGCCCCGGAACGTTCCAGCCACGGCGACGGGGCAGCTGGGGAGGGTATCCATCGGCGGGCGGTGCTGGAAGGGCCGACGCGGCCACTCGCCCCTCCCCCTGCGGCGGACGTCGGCTTGACGCCTGCCTGCGCCGTCGCGATAGTCGACCAGCCCCCTCTCAGTCCTCCTCCTCCTCCTCCTCCTCCTCCTCCTCCTCCTGCCCCGCATCGACCCTCCTCCTCGATCCTCCTCCTCGATCCTCCTCCTCCTCCTCCTCCTCCTCCTCCTCCTCCTCCTCCTCCTCTGTGCCGCCCCTCTCCCACCGTTTGCTCGCTCCCCCCCCCACACCTCCTCGCCCCCGCGGCTCCCTTCCCTCTCCCCACTCCCCTCCCTGGCTTTCTTCTCCCGCCCCTCCCCTTCCCCGCAGAGCCCCCCTCCCGGCCGTGCGCCGCCGAATGAAGGCGTAGAAAGAGTTCTCCCCTCCCCTCCCCTCCCCTCTCCTCCGTCTCCCCTCCCGACCCTGGCCCTCTTTCCCCGCCCCTTCCCCTCCCCGCGGGGCCCCCTCCCGGCCATGCGCCGCCGGATAAAGGCATAGAAGGAGTTCTCGGGATCGGTCGTCACCCGCAGGTGCTCCGGCAAGCGCGTCGCCGCCACCGCCCGCCGCACCTGGCAGACCCTCGTGACATCGACCAATCTGGTCCGATCTGGTCCATTCCAACCGTCGTCATCGTCGTCGTCGTCGTCGTCGTCGTCGTCGTCGTCGTCGTTGTCGTTGTCGTCGTCGTTGTCGTCGTCGTCGTCGCCGTCGTCGTCCTCTTCTTCCACCGCTGCTCTGACGGAGCGTGCCGCAACGCTCTGGACACCGCACTAGCGCTCGCGCTGCCTCCAGCTTAAGGGAGTTCTGATGGTGCAAGTAAAGCGCATCGCACGCACACTGGCGACAGAAGGCACCAGGCCATAGGAGGCTTCGAGGGCGCATCCACAACGCAAAATCAATCCAAAACACCAAGAGCGATATACTCACTTCCCTAAAGGCCTCCTACATGGGGTCGGAGTAGATGGGGTCGGAGGATCGCGCCGCATCGTCGATGCATCGCCGATGTATCGGCGATGCACCGGCGATGCATCGGCGACATCGGCGTGGAGAAAAACGGGCTCCACATCGAGCCGCATCGTCGATGCACCGGCGATGCGGCGCGATCCTCCGACCCCATCTACTCGGACCCCATCCAGGAGGCCTAGATTCCCATGGCTTGAAACCCTTTGGAAAAGCCAAGCGCGAATAGTTAAGACCTCGGTCGGAAGCCAGGCGAGGGCTGCTAAATCCGTGGCTGCTAAAATCGACCTCCGGGAAGTTGTCTTCGTCCTTCCGAGAAGAAGCCCGTTGACTGTTTCGCGTGCCGCGCCTCATTCCGGGAAGTTGTTTTTTCCTTCCGGGAGGGCCGTTTTAGCAGCCACGGTTTTAGCAACCCTCGCCCAGCTTTCGGCTCGGAATCCTTGTCCAGGTCCCTCACGGGACTTCGTCGTCAATGACGTGAACGGCTCCGCCGGGAGTGCTGCAGACCATCCATGCCATGTGGCCCAGGAAACATTCAAAGTGGGACCGGTGTGGTATGCTGTAGAACCTCGTTGAGAGTAGCAACGTCACCGAACACGACTGGTCATTCGACGCTTCTACCCCCCTATCTCTGCTTGTTTGTACCCCTTCTGGCAGAAAAGCTTCCCCCCCTCCTCCTCCGCATCATATCGCTCTTTCCCCTCCTTCCCCCCCTTCCTTCTTTTCGACTCTGCGCGGTTTTTCGTGAAATCGGGAGAAGATGATGCAGCAAGGCAAAATGGTTGGCATGAGGGGTTGAACGCGGGTGCCCCTTCTATCCCGTGTCCCCTCCTCGCTCCCTTGACCACCTGTCTCTCGCTCTGTATGTCGCCGCGCAGATTGTCCTCAACGCGCCCGAATGGACGACGCCGGCACCGCGGCAAACCCACGGCGAACCCACGGCATCCGAGGCGGCGTTTGCCCTTGTCGCCGAAGCGCCCTCCCCAAGCGACACATCTTTTCTTGTATGTTTGCATTTGCCGGTGCATCTCCCCACCTGTCTTGCTTCGCCATTTTGTGCTGTCTGCTTGTCGGTACTAATGTTTGCTTGTCTGTTCGCTCGCTTTCTCTCGCTCTCTCTCTCTATTTTCTGTTTCTCTCTCTCTCTCTCTCTCTGGAGGAGGAGATTACATGTCTGTGTGCAGCGGAGGTGATATCGCACCTGGAGCATCACCAAAAAGCAGAAGTTCCGCACTGCCACGTTTATGAGCCACCGAGGCACGGACATCTTCGGGTCCACGCAGACGATCACCTGCACGAGGGTGTCCTCCGTGCCAGCGACCTCTGCGGGGGTGATGATCACCCCCGAGTCCCACATGTCCACCTCTTCGCCCGTCCAGTCGCGAAGCTCATCCAGCGGTCGGGGGCAGTTGTCCTGCGCTCGGCCGCTGTCCAGCAGCACGACCACCTGCTGGGGCGCGTCCTCCTGGTTCATGCAGTCCGTCGGCGGCGAGCTGGGGGGGGGGGGGCCGAGAGGGAACGGGCCTTCTCTCAGAAAGCCAGGGGACTCCCGAGCCTTCTGAGAAGGCGCGCCCCTTCTTCGGAGGCCTGGAAATGGGCACCAGCACCAAAACAGGGGGTTGCCTCCACAGGGGGAAGATGATCCTGGACTTCGGTGTTGGTGGCAATGGTTCGGTCACCCTGGAAGCCAGAAAATATTACCACCACTGCCGAAATTGGGATCTTCATCTCTCTCGGTGGAGGCACACCGCCGATCTTGGTGTTGGTGTCAACCTGTGGGCCTGCGAGTTCTCGCTTCCCCCCCTCGCTCGCCGCCGAGTCTATCCCGTCCACCGCGAAGGTGCAGCAGCGGTCCCGGACAGCGGGCGCGCGCAGGACCGCGGCAGAACCAACAGCCGGCTCGGGCCGCGCCTGCCCCCGCGCGGGGCCCCCCGAGCAGCGGCTCTTCGTGCGCTCTCGGCGGGTGCCCTGGGGCCCACTTGGTTCCTTCGCTGGTGAAGGCCAATGCGGCTTGTCTTATACGGGCGCATTCTGTCCGTCGGCCCCACGAGGCCATGCGGGGCCAATACGGCTGTCGCACTTCCAACGCTGGTGCAGGCCAATACGGCTTGCTATCGCACGGGCGCATATTGTCCGTCGGCCCCAAGTGTTCGTGCGGGCCAGGAGAGCCCGGACTCGAATCGAGAAGCCGGATCGGCGATCGAAATCCATCGGATGGGCAGAAGTCGGCAGCCGAATCGGGAAGCATCGAACCGGCGGAGGCTGGCAGCTAGTTGGCCTCCGTTGAAAAAGCGGAGCCCGAACCGGAATCCCAAGTCAAATCGAATCGGAATCGGACGCCCTCGAAGTCGAATCGAATCGAATCGGAGGAATCGAAGTGAACCCTGAACAACTGGGGGCATCCGCGCGCAAGAGCCTCCCATGCTCGGCGGCGAGCGAGGGGAAATGAGAAGGAGAAGGCTTTCTCAGAAGGCTCGGAAGCCCCCCGGTCTTCGGAGAAGTTCTCCAAGCCTTCCCCGAGGACAAAAAACAAACTTCTAAGACGGCGCGAGAAGTCCCGCCGCCCTCTGAGAAAGTCCTCTCCTTTTCATTTCCCCCCTCGTTCGCTCCCGACTTACTCGAGCAGGGACGCCTCATCCACCCATCCGCGACTCGCTGGCAAAAAAAAACTCACACAGCCGTGAATGTAATCAGTCATCGGAGCTTCTGCTCGTACACCTCCACAAGCGCATCGTCACACGGACCTCGTTCGTGCAGCCCTTACTTGGGCGGGCCAGTGATGATGGCGACGACGGCATCGGCGAAAACGACGACGATGGTGATGATGGTGCTGGCGATGGCGACGGCAACGGCAAAGACGATGACGACGGTGGTGACGATGACGACGTCAGAAATAGTGATGTGGATGATGGTGATGACGGTGGCGGTGATGAGGACAATACAAGTGATGACGATTGTGCTGATGAGGATGATGAAGAAGCGTGAGTTTGCAAAACTCGGACATAATGTAGAATGAAAACGCAGGGCTTCACGTGTCGTTGGATATACACATTTTTACCTGCCGAGGAAATCAATGGCTTTACAAAGGGTTCCGTTCCGACATGCGCGCGCAGGGATGTGCACGTGTAACCAACGTTGTATCGTTTGACGCAATTGTCGGGTGCGCGATTATTGATGCCTGCCGTCAACATGCGCGCTAGCGTGTGGCCCGCATTGTCTATTTTGATAGAACTGCAACTACCCGTGGCTTTCACATGATTCAGGCGAAGCGCGCACATAACCATGACATCTTGCGCTTGTTCTTTTTCTTTCTTAATAATAACAATAATAACAATTATAATAATAAAAATAATAATAAACAACAGCAAAAACCACTGCACAACACTGATCCTGGTGGGCAACGTTTGACATGTGCGCGCCCGTGTGAATGCTCCGCATAGCATCATGTGATACAGATGGGGACTGGGGTCGATAAGCGAGGACTAGCTGGGATGCCAGGGGCCCGTGTTTAGGATGAACGATCCTGAAGAGGTGCGACGGCAATACGCGGAATTGGAGCATCATCGTCATCATCAATCGCCAATGCGCAGAGGTGAAACGTTCAGTCCAGCCTCGGCGTGGGAACAAAGTTCCAAGCTCGAAAGAAAAACGAACCCGTGTAGTGCAATCTTGAATCCCGCGTGCCGCCCCTGTACGTGGTGCAATCGACGTCGTGACGAATACCAGCTGCAAACCGTGACGTGCAGTCTGTGTGGTGCTGGCCGACAGCCTGGCCGAAACCGCACCAGCGCACGAGGGCCCCACGAGGCGCCCACACGCCGCAAGCCTTGCAGACCCAGTGCGCTCACGAGGCGCACGCTGGCCGAACACCTGGCAGACCCAGTCAATGTCCCAGGTAACCAACAAAAGCCTTTTCGTGACAGCCCCCTTGGAGAAAGAGGGGGCCAATCGTCGACTGACAATGACGCAACATAAGACGAAGCCAAGAGCGGGACATTTTCTCCGTCGGCGGCGAGGCCAAGCTGGCTGCACCAGCGCCAGAGCCAAACGGGGGCACCGAGAAGAGAATCGGCCAGCGTGCAGGAGTGGGGGAAAGATCCAAGACTGGGACAAAATCAGACTGGGGGGGGCACCGAGAAGAGAATTGGCCAGCGTGCAGGAGTGGGGAAAGGATCCAAGACTGGGACAAAATCAGACTGGGGCGCGTCGGGGATCTCCGAGATGCAGGAGGAGGAGGAGGAGGAGGAGGAGGAGGAGGAGGAGGAGGAGGAGGAGGAGGAGGAGGGGAGGAGGAGGAGGAGGAGGAGGAGGAGGAGGAGGAGGAGGAGGAGGAGGAGGAGGAGGCGGAGGAGGAGGGAGGAGGAGGAGGAGGAGGAGGAGGAGGAGGAGGAGGAGGCGCGACGAAGATGCATCGGGCGCCGCGGCCGCGGCGGAACGCTCTGTACCGCTCCGAGAGCGCTCTGGAACGCTCTGGGTGGCCACCTTCGCGCCCCCGCGCTGCCGCCTTGTGGAACAACGCCTCCTCCACCCAAGCCGCGAGGCGCGACTACCTCCCTTGAACGAAGGATTGCAAAACAAACCCTTCGAGGGTTTTTTTTGCAATCCTTCGGTTTTGTTGCAATGCTTCGGTTTTTTTGCAATCCTTCGCTCATGGGGGTGACCTAAGGAAGAGAGCCAAGCAACCCCTTGAAGCCCCAGCAGTAGTGGCAATTGCCCGAACCACCAGTTTGGACGACTGGCCGCGCCGCCGGTTCTTGGGCCCGGTCTCCCGCCAGCTCTTGGGATGGTCGCCCGCTGTGGAATGTCTCCCCGTCTGGTGTGGGATTTCTCCCCTAGATGTGTCAGCACGAGTGGTTGTACGACCTGGTCAGGAGCCTCCCTCTTGCTCTGCGCCGCCATGCGCGCGCCCAGGGATGGGCCATGGCAGCCTGACGTCGGTGTGGAAGCACATGTTCAGCAGCGAGGTCTGGCCCAGCTGCCTCGCCCCGCTCAGGCCCATGCCTGCGGATATGGGGAGGGTGGAGGGGGGGGATCAGAAGGGAGGGGGGGGGGGGAACGGCGAGGGAGGGAGGGAACGGCGAGGGAGGGAGGGAGAGGGGAGATCCAGCCACGCCCAGCCCGATGGGGAGCTGAGGATGACGGCGTCAGCGTGAGGAGGGAGAGGGAGGGAGGAGGATACACTCAGGGAGGAGAAGGAGGACGACGATGAGTGAGGATGGGGCAGGGAGGGAGGGGAAGGGAGGGAGGGAGGGAGGGAGGGAGGGAGGGAGGGAGGGAATGAGGCAGGGAGGGAGGGAGGGAGGGAGGGAGGGGGGGAGGGCGCTCCCGCGCACCGCCCCCCCGCGATGTGCCGCCCCGTGCTGGCGGCGCTCCTGCTCGGGAGCGCGGCGGGCCTCCACGTCCAGCCGAGCGGCGACGAGGCCCCCGCGTGGCTGACCCCGCAGGACGTCCGCCCGTGGGGCAACCTGCACAGGGCGGAGATGGAGGTCGACGCCTCATCCGCAATGGAGGGGTTCGCGGAGCCCCTCAACGAGACCGAGGCCGCCGAGATCGCCGACGCCTGGCTCAGCGTCCCAGGCACCGACGTCACCTTCAGCTACGGTACGCACTGCGACCCCGTGGCTGGCTGCCGCAGCAGCGGCCACAAGCGGGGCCAGCCGTCCTTCCAGGAGATGCACCGCAATGTGCTGGCCTCCCTCCGCGCCCTGCGCTTCTGCTTCGCCGACGTCCTCATCGTCCTCGACGTGCCCCACAAGGGCCACGACAAGCTTGGCCCAGAGACCCCAGGCAACGTCAGCAGCCACATCGTCGAGCCCAAGGACGCGCCTGGCACCTTCATCGAGATGCGGCTGGCGGGCGGCCAGAGCGCTAAGAGGTTCCAGGTCGATTCCGGGCTGTCCACGGCGGCCACTGCCACCGCCAAAGCCGCCGCGGAGCTGCTCCGCGACCACTGCCCCGCCGCCGCGCCCCAGTGGAAGGTGAAGGTCGTGGACTACGGATCTGAGGAGCTGCGGAGACGGGCGCTGGAGCACTACGCCATCCCGGAGGCGGAGAAGAACTCCAGTTTCTTCGACAACATGTACATGAACACCATGGCGCTGGACGAGAACTTTGAGGCCAAGAGCCAGTACGTGTACCACATGGACGCCCAGTTCCGCCTCTACAGGAGCAACTTCTCGAGGAGCACCCCCAACTTCATCGCGAAGGGCGTTTCCCTCATGAAGTCGGACCCCAGGGTCTACATGGCGTCCGTGATGAACACGTACAACGTCGAGCCGCAGAAGAACCCGTACAACAAGTTCGCCGTGATCCCTGGCTCCGTGCACGGCAGCACGCCGGTGGAGCGCGTGAAGGGGATGCTGCAGGGGTGGAGCACGTCCCAGGGGCTCTCGCAGAAGCGACCCCTCCGCGGCGAGGCCTTCTTGGGACGCTGGGAGGACACGTCCGCCGAGGATATGCACGGCTCCGTCGGCCAGGACTCCCCGGCGTACGCGAACGGCGCGGCCTGCGGCGCCCGCTACCTGGTCAGGTCCACCAGCGACGAGGGGGTGAACGGTGACTCGACTGGGCAGGGCGCGGCGTCCGAGGCCATCGTGACGGTCAGCACGGGCGGCACCAACGGCACGGGCCGCCTCGACTGCTTCCCCGAGGCGTTCGAGGCGACCACGGGTGGCACCACGGGCGAGTTCGACGTCGAGTGCGAGGAGGTGGAGTGCGATGCCATCAGGACGACCCCGTCGGTGACCAGCTTCGAGGCGAAGAACCAGTACTCCTGCAAGATGTTCTTCAACAACGTCGGCAGGTGGGGCGCGCTCTCCAAGGTGTCCGCCGTGGCCAGCGCTGAGCCGGCCCAACTAATGCCAATTAACTGTATAATTCGATATTCTGACTTAGATTTAATTAGTTTTGCAATCGCAATTCAGGTACCCATTCCCGAATTAAGGGCGGCCGGCCCTCCCTCTTCAGTCCCCTCCCGCACTCTCCCCCCCCGACGCCCTGCCCCCGACCCCCGCCGACGACAGCCGACAACAACCACGACGGACATCAGCGGAAACGACGACAGCAGACAGCAGGACTCACCGCCTCCCCAGACGGCCATTCCAGCCGTCTGGCCGCCAGCCCCCCAGCCCCTTCCGAGGGAGGGGGCTGGCGCCAGCTGCAGCCCGAGCCCCCCAGGGGAAGAGCCCCATTCCCACGGTAGGACTCTCCTGGGACCAGTTCCCCGCTGGGGCCTGCGCGGATCCGCTGCGGGTCCCGGCGGCGCCCTGGCTTGTGCAGCAAGCCCACAAGAGCCAAGCAACAACAACGACGAGCCAAGAAGCAACAATGACGACCACAAGGGGCGCCACGACCCCCAACAGGGGTGCCGCGCGCAGCAGCCCAGGCGCAATGAATGGCACCA